GTGGGGGCAAGAGCCCTCGGGGCCTTGATATATGGTTGGGAAAGAAGGACTTGGAGAAGGAAAGTCTGTTTTTGATTTTCTCTATTATTAAGCTTTGGCATTATTTAGATGATTAGAAATCAATTTCCTAGCTAAGTAGAGTGTTTTGTTTTTTTGTGTGTTTTGTTTTTAAGATGATACAGTGTGGATTTGGTTGGAGAGCTGTGTGGGCTACCCACCAACAGCATCAGCATCTCCTGAATCAGAATCTGCATTTTACCAAGATCCCCAAGTGACCGGGGAACACAGTGAAGTTGGAGGAGACTGACAGGGTGGCAGAGAACATAGGCTTTAGCATGGACCAGGCAGGTTCAGATTCCAGCTCCCACCTTGACCTTGGGCAGCGCTCTCAAACATTTCCAATCCTCTACATCTTCATGGGTCAGTAGGGATCACGATGGTCCCTATCCCTTAGAGCTGTTTTAAATGTGATACTGTATGGGAGCCACTTAGCTTTTACCATTGCTCACCAAGTGCTAGTCATTCGTTAGTAGTAATGAGAGGTAAAATAAAAATTTGGATAAAAGAATCACATTGACTGGTAGCATCACGCAGAGGTTGTTCACACATTGGTTTACTGTTGTATTGGATTTTTATAGTTTTGATCCATACATGGACTATAATTTCACGTCTGGCTTTTTTCACTTATGAATATAAGTGAAATATAAGTATTTTTCTGTATTAACTTAATCTGGGAGAACAAATAGATCCATGCGCTGCTTCATGACGGGGTGAGTTCTGAGAAAGGCTCCATCAGTAGGTTGCCTGCAAACATAACAGGGAGCTCGCTCAGGCTCAGAAGGGGGGGGGTCACTGGATGGGTTTCCCGATGCAGTCAGGAATTCGGTAACTTGACACGTGGAAGGCTGCTGAGGGTGTAACACTGCATACTGTTTTACAGAAAGGTGTTTAATATTTAGTACATAAGTAGAAGGAGAACATTTAAACACAGGTTAGAAGGTATAGTACAGATATGTACTGCCCAGTGAGATTTCAGTCAGCAGTGGTCCCCCTCTGTGACAGCGCCCCTATTAATCATATCACCTCTGGCCTGAGAGCCATCTTGGTTTGTG